ATCCTAGGTCGTTCGAGCGTACAGTCATTTATCTGAATCAGATGTTTATGTCTTCAGGCTTCAGAAACTTTGCCTTGATGAACGGGTAAGACCAAATACTATTTATAATGACCTGAGGTAAGGCCAAATACTATTCATATTGACCTAAGGTAAGACCAATTACTATTCATATTGACCTAAGGTAAGGCCAAATACTATTCATATTGACCTGAAGTAAGGCCAAATACTATTCATATTGACCTGAAGTAAGGCCAAATACTATTCATATTGATCTGAAGTAAGGCCAAATACTATTCATATTGATCTGAGGTAAGGCCAAATACTATTCATATTGATCTGAGGTAAGGCCGAATACTATTCACATTGACCTGAGGTAAGGCCGAATACTATTCATATTGACCTGAAGTAAGGCCAAATACTATTCATATTGACCTGAGGTAAGGCCAAATACTATTTACATTGACCTGAGGTAAGGCCAAATACTACTCATATTGACCTGAGATACTAAGAAACTTCCAACCCATTTTTGATGGTCTAATGTTTAGGTAACAGAATGTGTGGAGCTCCTCAACTCCCTGCCCAAGAACAAAGCAGCGCAGTACGCCGAAGAGATTATCACGTGGCTATGTGGGATACTCGAAGAGCAAATGTTTGTTGAATTGGTGAGTTAGATCAGAAMTATAGGTGATAAYGATCGAGTGTATTGAGGTTTTTCAYTGTGGTATGTGTCGCTATCGAAAAATCATATTTTTTTGTTTTATYAGAAAAAACAAAAAATTTGCAGCCAAATTTTTATATCGATGTTAGTGGTAGAATTGTGAAGGCACATTTTGCCTGTCAACTTACATTTCTTTGTAAAATCTTCATGTTAAAAAAAAAATCACATCTTCGAACTACATTCGTTTTACTTATCTGTAAGCCAATTTTGAATATCAACTTCTTTTTCAAAATAAAACAAATTTCTCTACAGCATTACGTCACATGAAAAACCTGTTTATGACATTAGTACTGCAAGTCTGATAATCACAATTAACAGGCAGTAACATACGACCACACCTATTTTCCGGCATTCGTTTCTAAAAAGCGCTGGCCCTATGGTCTGAACCCAGACGAAAGCARAGTTAAGAGCGCACTTTGAACTGAGTTCTTTCATGCACAAATGTGTTTTAAAATGTTCAGATGGAAATGTATTGGTGCGGTAATACGTCATTTGACTTGTTGCGCAGGGTTGTTGCATTGCAGCTTGCAGATTAAATGCTTCCGCACWAATACAGACGTTCGTTGTACTCTTGCCAGAAAAAACATTTAATGTTGCGTGAGTAATGCGAGCAATATTCTCTCTGCAACTTGCAACTCAACAGTATTGCGTGACAAATTGCATGAATGTTTTGTCCGTATTCTTCATATTTATACTGTAGCAGATGTCGAACGTGGTAACAGCCTCGGCCAACCTTATCCAAACCTCTTTTGAGAGMATGTCTGTAGAATTTGTCAGCGGTCATGTTAATTTTCTTCAATACTTGTTGTTCCAGTGTGATTGTCGGTCTTCCCCTCGTGATATTAATGTTGATTTCACCACCATAGACGCAAGCATTAGCAAGCGAGGCACGGTTCAATGGTGTGCGCTGCTATTGGTTATCTCCTGTGCCTCGAATATTTTCCTTCCTCTGCAAAAATGAACTCCTAACGCCTCTGGCTCGGGTGACTGTGCAATCACTCTCTGCGCGTTCGACGTAAAACATATTACATTTACATTTTTCAAGCATAATGTCATAGTACGCGGTCGTCGGAGTTAGATTGTTCGATCGAGGAGCGGGCGTAGCTCAGTTRGTTAGAGGTCCATAGTTCGATCCTCAGGAACTCCACGTCTGTTTCGACTTCTCTCTCATCTGCGTAGCTTTAATTAGCTTTAAATACCCGTAAAAAGGAGCACTAATAGTAAGCTATTGATTAATCTTAGCTGAAGGAACCACCGACGTTAAATATAGGTACTTTACCTTTACGCTGTCGCAGTTCGTACTTTTTTAACCCTCTCAAGTGAAGTACTTTTGGCGCGACCGTCCGTGTCTCGGTTGAAGTTCGGCTGTATGTTACTGTGTAATCAGTATGTAAAACATTGATCCCTAATCTTCTTTCTACAGGATTGTAMCAAAGAACATATCGTTGCTGCTCAGAATGCTGTCTCTATTCTAAAATTGATTAAGAAACGTGGTAAGCTATTACCATATTGAWGGTATTTATGGCGGCCRTGTTGGAGGAACTTAAAAGAATTGCCAATGAATTCTTTTGTTATATCCTCCAACATGGCCGCCGTGTCTTTTGTTATTTAATTCTCTTGGGAATGGTTGAAAACCATCAATAAGACATGGTCAACAAAACATGTTCGTACCCAAGCTAGAACAAGRTGCAACACGTTCGCTTTCTTAGAATAGGTCTATTTTAAACCACGTCAATTCCCTAAGAACCATTTCTTTGTTTATTCTTTAATCTTGAGAAGAGTTAATATGAATATGCAAAAATCTCGAACCAATAATCTTGAGACAATTGCAGTTGCATCGAACGATTYGCTCCTAAAACTAGAGTACTGAATAAGAGGATAAAGATAATCAAATCATTGCTTGCTGATAGAATACGTAAAAAAGTGGCTAATGAAAATAACGTCTTTTTCTTGTTAATGCTCCTTCTTGATTAGAGTTGTCCACGTACCATGAAGTAGACGAGCTACTAGCAGACCTGACCAATATCTCATCACTCCAGGTAACATCTCAGAGATGTACAACAACTGACATATAAAACATAGCCTTGCTTCTCATTCGTGGAATGTAGTACTTCAGTAAACACTAGCCTTTTTACCATAACTTGGAAATTTTTTCGCGCGCTGATTGGCTTAGAACCATTGTCGATTAGAGGCTAGACCTGCTTGTGCTTACGACATCCGTCACGCGCACTGAGCGAACGGATGAAACGGCTTTTTCAAACTATTTACCTGTCTTTTTGTTCAATTTTTTCGCTGCACTCGTGGTTCCACTTGAGTTTGGATCATTTTTGATGTCATTTCATGTTCGATTACAGTACAGACCCATAGAAAACTGACTTAACTGATTTGTTAACTAACCCTTGTGGTACCATCCCTCGCCATATGTAAAGTGTTTTTTCTCTCCCTCGCTAAGAATTGTTTTCAAATTGTTGCGAGTTTTATAATTCGACCGCTCTTTTTCAAGAAGTTCCTGAAATGCCGTATTTCAATCGATTTTGCTGGAACTTTGCAGACGATCAATATCCCATCTCAAAAACGCGGGTGTCTCAGTTTTTTGATATCTTGTGTCGTTTTAAAGTTATTTCATGCGTGAAAGAGATAAAAACCACTTCAACCAACTTGGGGAACAAATATTAATATTTCCGCAACAAACGCGTTTATCGAAAATGTGAGACACTGTTTTGGAGGTCATACTGTCATCTTTGCGATGGCGTGAATTATTTTCAAGTCAAAAAAATTCCCGTGTTCCGGGAACTTATTGAAAAAAGAGTGGCCGAAAATAATAAAACTCACACTCTTGAAAAACTGATAAGATTGTTAAAAAAATAATTCTCATGGTTGAAATCTGTGTTTATCCAGTATCAAGAAAATATATAGTTTCCTAGCCATTAGATGAATAKTTAGTGCGCTATGACGTTTTTAGTGAACATCGGTCGCGAAGGTCTCCTGGTACCTTGAAGCTTTTCTTTAAAGAATGTAGAGAAGAGCAGTTAGCTCTGTCGTTCTCGGTCTTAAGATCATTTTTCTTCTTCAGAGGGAATTCTCAGAGTTCTTGTCACTGGATGACTACAGAGACGCCATGAAACGTGAGGAGTTGTTTCAGAGATATCTTGGATTACACCTCCAAGGACAGAGTGCCACTAAGGATGAAAAACCTGATAAACCAGTATCATTAACACGACTGACAAGGTAATAGTCCACCAAGGTCGTTGATGGAAGAATCGTAACAGATAACTTAGGGATGAACCATTAGATAATTGAGGACGGGAGGTGCAGGAATTTATGTAGCACGATGTTTATTTTTTATGACAACCGTTTTTGTGTAGGTGAAGTGCTTGCTCGATATTTTTTGGGGGGATTTACGCAGCCCCCATCAATTAACTAAGGTCTGTCCCTTACCACTGATTTCATTACTACACAATCGTCAGGTTTCGAGACACCAAAGAAGCCGCATCCGGCATCTTTAATGATTTATAATTGACGGAAGATTATTGCCAGCTTAGATGTGTGGACGTATTTGGTGAGGACGCGTAGCAATGAAATTGGTKGTAAATGCAATTGTATAAAAATCAGACCTTCTTCATTTGACTTGTTGTTTCTCCAAGCGCGCGTGATGCCATATTTGCTAGTGTAGGACTTGATGCTATTGCTAATTGACTTCACTCGGGATCCAATCAATCAGACACACTATCTGCGATATTCAACATTCAGACAGATCGAAGAGACAAAAAGAAGCAAAAATGAGCTAGAACCTTTTTCATACGTTCAACGCACTATTTTTCCTTTCCTTCTCTAGGACAACTAACCCCGTTTTTGTTATTTTCGAGCAAATGATCGATCACGGCACCTTCTTATCTGCTTTACCTTGATCACATGCAGGCTATGCAATCTGATTCTGATAAGCAAAGAAGACCTGATAACCAGACTAGCAGATCACGCCTTGTTATCTGGTGACACTCACACTGCTATAGAACTCTGCAGAGAGCTACTTGAGTTTGCAGCAAAGCCTTCAGCCTCTCACGCCGTGTACGCTATTGCGCATGCGCTGTGCCAGCGTATGTCCGAGGGACTCGTCTTGTCACTAGATGCAARTGAGAATACTAACAGAACTAACCTGACTAAAGAGATCTACCAGTTGCTGTGCTCTATCTTAAACCTTTGTAAACCAGGTAAATATGCTAGGGGTTGCAGTCAATTGCAATAGGGACCTTAAGCTGCAGGACGGCAACGACGACGACGACGGYAAACATACAATAGCACTAATTGCGCTATTCAATAGATACTCGTTGGAATGTACGAAATACTGTGCATCGTTGCCGTCTTATGCTGAAAGTAAGACGTGAAATGTCCTATTTTYACGTACTAAAGAGAACGGCTACGCCAAAAGCCTATCTTTGCTGATTTTCGTTATAAGTAAAACGTTCCCAAAAGACGTCATTTCACTCTAAAACGGGGATGCTTATTGAGTTAAATACTAGTTAAACACGAAATAATAATACAATAGAAGGTTAAAGCGCATCAATTTTGCCGACGTTGTCGCCCACGTTGCCGTCCTGCAGCTTAAGGTCCCTATATATCATKTTCGGGTTGAAAACTGGGGTCTCAGGTCGCAAGGTCGCAGCTCTTAGAAGATAATATAAACAAAAGAATAAAACGAGTCGACAGTGAAAACTATTGTTTGGTTCGACCAATCTCGACAGCAGTTCTTAGTGACTGGGACATTACTGGAAAACTGACATAGAAGTTGAGACCGAAAGGTATTCTCGGTAATGACACAATTATCCTCTGATGTATTCAGAGGAGATACACAGTCGATATGAAACGTGTAAAAAGCCTCCACGCTTTTTGTCAGTGCAACAATTTATGAACATTCCACGAGTCGTTTCACTAGATATTTCTAATTAGCGTACTTCCCATGTACCATTTCGGTCTCAACTCCTATGTTCTATGTTTTCAACCCGACAATTCTGCTATCAAGTGTATATAAAGGATTTGTTCTAATCATTGCTTTCCCATTCCAGACCATTTGTCATTCCCTTGAGTATCATTTCTTTGTTTATCTGCAACACTCGAAAAGATGCACTATTATAGATGAAACTTTAACAAGAACATTAATGTACCAGTAGATGGAACTTGAGAATTGCAACTCAGAGATTTCAAATATTACTATTCATATTGACCTGAACAAGAACATTAATGTACCAGTAGATGGAACTTGAGAATTGCAACTCAGAGATTTCAAATATTGGAGAGGTTAAGAAGTAGCCTCTTTCTTTTTTTTTTTCTGACAAAGGATTGTATTCCCTAAAGATTCAGTAATAAGAGCTTCAAAATCCAGCAACTAATCGCACAACACTGTTGCGTTTTTAAAAGCTACACGTATATTACCGCTCCGCCCGCAACATATTTTCATTGTTGCGAAGGCCAGGGTAGAGAGATCTAAACCCGCAAAGAAAAGTTGTGGCGCGAGGGGTGATAATACAAGCAAAATTCGCTCTGCAACTTGCAACGCATTGACGCCGCGTGTCAATACCAAAAGTTCTATTATTCGTGACTCTCTTGCGCTCTGTCAAAAAGTCAATGTTAAAATGTATTTYTTTAACCGTGATTACTTTCAGATTTACTGTGTGATTGTCTTGAGTTATGTAAGTGTATTGGCCTGGCAAACGAGGTGTACGCACAATGTGAGACTGGTGACTATGGCTTCACTGTGCAAAGCATGGCCAAAAGGTACGGTCTGACAATGTAGGTCTTTTGATAGGTAACGCCACATGGTGGTTTACTACTAACTCTTTATTTCGATCAGCTGCAATATAAGCTATGCTTTGGGTTGTGTTACCAAAGTATGGGAAAAGATGTTAGTATGAAGCCAAAAAAAAAAAAAAGAAAGAAAGAAAACGATTTTCGTTTGACAAGCTGTTATGACAAAGAAATCATCATGTGTATGATCATCGTCATCATCAACACCATCAATGTTATTACCTCCACAGTTACTGATATTATTATCATCACCTCTGTCGTTATTTAATATTACCACCACCATTTGCCACTGTCATTGTCAACATCACAACCTCATCTTCACCACCATTATTTTTTTCTTTGTGCATGTGAGAATATGCAAACGATACATGCAGTTTAGATTTTTAAAATATTAAAGTTATTATTATTATTTACGAAGAATCAAATCTTCAATTCCTTCTAAGCATGATATCATCTCGCCTTTTTCTGTAGCTCCAAGAAAGACTTGTTCAGTGAATGGACCTTCGATAAAAGGTTYAAGGAAGACGGCCTTGTACTTGATTCAGTTATTGCTCTTCCATTGGCTGGAAAATTCGCCGTCGCTTGTGTGCCAGACGGTAGGAGAATTAGGCATTTAAGCTTGGGCAAAATGTTTTCCCAGAAGATTTTATTCCCTTGAATTGACCATTTTTTGAGTTCCAAATTACCGCTGTGTTTCTTGATTACAGACTCATTTACACAGGGTTAGCTTCGAGTTTGTGCAGAATATTCACGTGTTCCTTACAGTAACCACTATTTCTTTCTTAACGAAATTGTCCGAAAAGAAACAGAGATCGCAAATTTCCTTTTGTAACTCGAATTATTCTTCTCAAACTACGGAGGTATTTTTGAAACGTGAAAGGGGTTTACAGCAAGGAACAGAGGGCAAGGAAGTTATTTGTACAATTACTGGCCAGATTCTTGAATCCAATTATCCACTTTCCTCGCCTTGGTCGGGTCATATCAATAATTTTGGCGTATTTGCGAACTCTCAGACTATTTCTAGGGTTATTGTCACTTTTTTGCAAAAGTGAACAATTCACCTTTATTTGATAAAGTTATTCCTGGATTCTCTCCTGTTTTCTTAGGACTATCTATGATAATAGTTTATAAGATAATTTGTTTAAATAATACGACGAAGGACTATAGCGTCATCATTACTGTTTCATTAGAAACACCGACGCAGCTCACACTAGTTTTTAGCTAGTTATCTCTTCGTGAAAAAAATACTTGATTAATATTTGAAAAGGAGTACCTAGAGGCTAGCCCCATATACAAGTCCCCCTCTAATTCCTCTCCCTCTGCGCAGCGATACTGCAAAAGTTTAGCTTTAAAGACTAAACAGTTACATTTTTTTAGGACGTAACACGAATAACGGTATGCTGTACTATCAGGCAAGAGTTGCTGGAAGAAACATATCTGATCAAGGTAATAATACAAAGTTTATACATTGAATTCAATAATAATGGTGGTTACTTTGTGTTGTGTCCTCTTACTTATCACGATTTACGTCAACAACTAAAATACCTTTTCTGAGATAGTGAACGTGGTGCATTGTGGTCTAGCTTCGGTACAAACATCGTTTGTCCATCATGCCTTATATGATGTTGTTTGTACCCAAGCTAGACCACAATGCATCCTGTTTATCGAACTCAGAAACTGTGGTGCCAGGTGTATAAGATAAGATACTTCATGATAGGTGATTTCGTATTGATATTTTTTCTCTTTTCCTTTTGAAGAAAATCCTAAGAATAATGAAAACGAAACAATACCGATGCCATCACGACTCATCCAAGTGAGTGCTGCTGGGCTGAACGTCAT